GGGGGGGGGGGGGGCCCCCCCCCCCCCCAGTGATGGAAATGAGCTGGTCGCATGGGTCTGCATCGTGGGTCTCGTTGTGTTTCGGACTCCTCCATATAGTGACTGGGCTGCCCCCCTGCCTTGAGCTGTGTGCTTCCTGGAATGGGCTGTTCTGTAACTAGTGAGCAGATATGAAACCCGGATGGATGGATAGTGTCATAGCACCGTTGCATTAACAACACATGCAGGTTGTAGTAACTATTGTTAAAGCGATGCTCTAAACACTCACTCCTCTCTCCCCATGTCTCCCCGACAGGAACAGTACGAGCTCGTCCACAGGGCCATCGCGCAGCTCTTCCAGCAGCAGCTCCTGCAGTTGGAGGGCCCCTCCCTCTGCCACATCTCTGAACGCCTGGTGAGCCGGCGGTGATGCACTTACAGCGGCGCTGACATAACCGCACCGTGCTGCGTCTGGGTGGAGGCTGCTTCCGTGCTCCTGACCCGCTTGTGACCCTGAGCTCCTGCACGGTTCTCAGTGCAGTCTCTCCTTGGGCTTGGGGCGGGGCGGGGCGGGGCGGGGGGGGGATCTTTCATCTTGACCCCGATCCACAAGTGTGGAATCCATTTCTGTGCTGAAGAAATACAGTATGTCCTTCGCGACGAGGAGCAGGAGAGAGTTTTACTAGCCATGAAAAAGGCGGGGTACTCACGGCTGGTACTCACGGCTGGTACTCACGGCTGGTACTCACGGCTGGCACCCAGCCTGAAGGCAGAAGCTCACTTCTTGTTTGGGAAGCTGGGGGACGTGCAGGGTGGTGTGGGCTGTCTAGGAGGGAGAAGGCCAGGGTGCACGTTTCCTGCTCGCCGCTGTGTCCGTGCAGTATTAGGTGCGTAAGACGCACTTCCGTCTTGATTCATTTTAGAGTATCGTGATATAACGAGCTGTATTACGGGTTACTGAAGTGTCTATGTTGGACAGTTGCAGTGAGAAAACCACCTGTGGTGTTCTGTGGAAATATCATCACCCTGTAGCAGAATGTCAGTCATATGCCGCTGAAATAACCGCGATGTTCTGCTGATTCGTCAGTGAGGCTCACATGGTATATCAGAGAAGCTTATCGCTGACACGCCGGTTGAAGTCTGATGATATAAGGATGACACTCTGCTGGACGTCAGCGATGATGGTGTGCTTCTCTCCCCTCCTGTATCAGGATGGAGACAGCCTGGGGGGGCAGGGAGGGAGCTCGGACGAGGAGAACGTGGAATGTCCCCCACCCAAACCGCCACGAGTCCGCAGGTGAGTCGGAATAAGGACGTGGGTGGGGCCTGTTTGGCTTGCTCCCCTCCCCCAAGCGCACACCAACACAATCACCTGACCCGCTGTGGCTTCCCCCTGCTGCGATTGGCTGCGTCAAGGTCATATGACTCAACGGTGAAGCTGGGGGCATACCCCACGGCTAATGGTTCCTGGATGTTTCGTTGAATTTTCCACTGCTACCCTCTCCACCACCGTGTGCAATTCGGCCACCCGACACACCTCTTGTGGGTCATGGGGGGGGCCCCCGGAGTTTGTGACCAAACCGGCGAGAAGCGAGTTTCAACCGCAGCTCACTGCTAAGACATCACGTCACACGGTGCTAGTTTCCGTCTGGTCTAGCTATCTGCGTGCCGGTCGTACCTGTTTTCTAAAAACATAAGCTTGTCTGAGAAAACATTTAAAAAATAACTGCCTTTTGTGGCCCAGCTCCCGGCAGGTGTCATGCTGTGTCGGCACCTCATTGGCACGTTGGCGAGCCGCTGTTCAGGCCGCAATGTAAAACGTACGACTAGAATAGCCTGCGGATTGCCGTGCTTGGAGATCATGTGACTAGCGTTCAGACATCTCACCCGGGCTGCTGGGCAGGATTCTCGAGGACACCTGGCTCCACGGCAACAGCTGTAATGGACCAGGGTTCTGCTGGCAGTGCGTATGGAGGGGGGGGGGGGTGGCTGTTCTCCATTGCCACCATCCTCCTGTGACTCACACCGTCACCCCCTTCTCCCTTGGCCCCGGTGACCGGATGCCAGTCTAATGCCGTGCTGTAATCTCCCCCATTCGGTACGGAGGTACCCCAGCGTTGGCCTGGATTCTGGAGTCATGGCACTCCTGCCAAGCTACGGAGATGTCTGTGCATGCACGTGACGGCTTACACACGGCGCGTCGGCTCTCACTGTGCCAGAGCTGCGGTAAAACGTGGGAGGCATGTATCTCTGTTCCACGAGGGAGGGGGGCAGGCGGGGGGGTTCCCGCTGGCCGCCGACCGCCGACACTGCGTGATGCTGCGGTTGCTGCCTCCCTCACACGCCTGCAGCAACATTGATGTCAAGTTGGCAGCGTGAAGAGAGAGAGCTGCCTCAGAGGAGAAGCCTGGGCAGATTCCTTTGCCTGCAGTACAGACTCCTGTCTGTATATGTGGAGTGCAGGCTGCCACCTGCTGGTAATTTCTGGTAATTTTAGTAAAGTTTTTCGTAAGATATAATACAACTTTATTTATCCCATGGAAAATTGTTGTGTCAAGGCATAAGAAATACAATATAATACACCCACATGTGGTCCAGACTAGGCTGTTAGGCGAACCCACATATATTACCATAAATACATACAGTATCGTACTGGTATCGACTGTATGTATGTACAGCTTATACACAATACTGTCAAAAATCTTTTGGAACATAATAGCAACTTTTAAAAACATTTGATAAAATACAGTAAACACACAGAGATGTTAAGCTCTTAAGCTCACACATAATTCTTATTACCTATAATGGAGCTGAAGTTGTGTAAGATGTGAAGGCTGTTGTAGTGTATAGTACAGTACTGTACCAAATACTGTACAGTGGTGCTACAGTACTGGATGCACTGTTCAAGTACAAAAGTCTTGGATGACACAGTGATTTTTATCAATTTTAATGCCGCACACATTTTTTTTAATTTTTAAATAAATAAATAAACAAACAGTAAAACGCACTAGTATATTTTCCTCATTAGTGTTTTTTTGCTTTTAATTTTTTTTTTCTTGGGCCCCGTGATGCACTTAAATATCACATAAATAAAAGCACTGGCTTGTGAATCTAACCATGACTTTGTTTGTTTACATACTACCTGGATAAGTAGGTTGCTGCACAGTTCTTTAAGTTCGGGATGGTATTCGATTTGATCTCTGCTATCTCTGTGGGAGCACTGTTGCTAAGGGGGTCAAACAATAAGTGGTAGATTTGTGAGTGTGTACAATACAAGTGGAATACAATAATAGTAAAATGCAAATATAAAGACAAAAGGATAAAAAGGTACAATAGGTAAAAGTTACATAAGATCTATTTTTAATAATCATCCATTCTATGTTAGATGTATAACAAAAATTAACATATATTGATTAGCTTATTAAGAGAATGAACTTATAATAAAACAATGTTGAGCTGTCAGTGTTAAAGATTAAGTAATAAACTGACTTGCACACAGCACTAAGCGCCTCAACCAGTTTGACTCTAAACTCTGCTGTTACACATGTGAGCACAGAGTAGCACTTCTTGAGCTTCTCAGTCTATTTTGCTAATAGTGGTCCATGGTCGTAGTTTCGGCTGAGACACTGCTGTTTAGTCGGCTGTCTGTCTCTCTGTGCTGCAGTGTCTGTCCGGAGGAGGGGGACATCAGAGAGGAGATACTGCAGCCGCCAAAGCCACGGCCGGTGCCGCCCATTCTGTTACCCTCGCCGCCGTCTGCCTTCCCCACAGTCACCAATGTACGGCAGGACAATGACCGCTACCACCCCAAACCCATCCTGCACATGCTGGTGTCTGAACAGGCGGTGGCGCTTGGCGAGAGCCACAAAGCCTCCCCTGCCCCTGCACCCTCTCCCACCCCTGCCCTCGTCCCCGCCTCTGCGCTCACACCC